GGTATTTTGTAAATGCATCAACGCCACAGCTGACTACAAACTAAACTGTAGATGATGTACTCCATGGTGCTGTCAACAGATCAGCTTATAAAGTAGTAATGAAAAGTGAATGAATATTAATGATCTGTGCCCAAAGACATGTGTTCTCTTTTTTTAACTCATCTATGTATCCAAACACTAAAGCTTTGTGTTGTGATGATTTAACAATAATAAACCCTCAAGAGGTGTTGGATCACTTATGTTTTCATCCTGCCTACCAGTTCTTTTTTTGTCTGCAGCATTTCTCTGAGCTGTGTATTGTCATGTATTATGGTTGGTAATGTTGATAACTCTATTTGCATAAAACCTCTAATTTGCAAATGGTTGTCAAAAACTGCTCAAAATTAAGACACTCCATAACAAGTGTTTCACACATTTTCATGAGCACAGTACTGGAGTTAAATAAAATTTCCACCTTTGAGGTTTTGATGAGGACCTTAAATTCAGTCAGGGGGGTAAATGACAACCCAACAGCTCCTATGCTTAGTTTAACTACAGCAGGAAGCCTCTGCTCTGTTACTGTTGCCTATCTTATCATATCTTATCCAATCTTAGCTCAGTTTATCTGTTATCCAATCTTATCTTAGCTAAACCTATGTTTGCTTATCTCTTATCCAAGCCTATTTTAGTTTAACTTTGCTCATCTTACCTTAACTAACCTTATCTTATCTTAGTTTCACTTAGCTTAGCTTGGCTCATCTCTTATCCAATAATATCTTAGCTGAGCTTAGTTAAACTAAGCTTGGGTAAGCTTAGCTCAGTTTATCTGTTATCCAATCTTAGTTTAGGTTAGCTTAGCTTAGACTGTCTCTTATCTTATCTCATCTTATCTTATCCAATCTTATAACCTTAATTAGCTTAGCTTGTGTATTATCTTATCTTAACTTAGCTTATATCTTGTCTTGTCTTGTTTTGTCTTATCCAATTTTATCTTGTCTCTTATCTTAAAATCAATTTTTTCGAAATGATTGTTGCTAATTCCTTTAGAGAGTCTGAACAGAAGGACAAGACCAGAAAATATGGACATGGTCAACCATGATTTCTCCACATTCCTTCCAGCAGTATAGCTGGGTGACAGTTTGTTTAAACATCTGTTTGGGCGTGATGAAAAAGTGAATTAGGTTTTTCCAGCACAGTGTCTCCAGGTCTGAGAGTTAGAAAAGCTTTGTATGTTGATGATTTCAATTAACAAACCCTCTAGTGTTGGATCAATAATGTTTTCATCTTACAGCGAGTCCTTTTCTCTCCTTTTTATTTATTTATTCATTTATGTTTGCAGCAGCTGCATTTCTCTTAATTGTATATTGTATTGGCTGATCATGTTGATGAGTTTATTGTCATGAAACTTGTATGTAAATGTCATAATTTGCGTGTGGGTGTCAAAAAGTGCTCAAAGTTGAGACACCTTGACTACTTTGTGTAATTTACTCGTTCAGGATTTGATGGGGACATGAAGTTAAGTGGCGACAGTTCCTCTGCTGAGTTCAACAAATTATATTCGGACAACTCGTCTCTGCACTGATGCTGGTTTCGTTTTGAACAATTAAAGGGGGAACGAAAAAAATAACATACGCCCCACAGTCGGAACTTATCAGTGTAACATCCGGCGGAAGTAAACAATTTAAACGCACCAGTCGCGAGGGAATTTAAGCAGGTTTGTCCATGAGGAAAAGTTGGAGTGACTGTAATTGTGACAAAGCAACAATGTCTTCAGTTGAGTATTTGAGAGGGTTTGTCAGCGAGAGACTAACTGCTGCTGCTGAAGAAATATTGGGAGTTTTTGAGAAAACTATCGTCGAGTACGAGAAAGAGATCGACCGTCAGCGCAGACTGTTGGATATAGCTTGGAAACCGGAAGTAAGATTATACAGGACAGGTGAGTAGCACTTTATTATTTTAATACCACAAAAGAGAAGACTAATATTTATAAAACCAGCTCGCATGTGAGCATTTTCTTGTTTGCCATCAGAGTAATATGTGTTCCTCTTTTTGTGTGTCCCTCCAGAGCTCCCACAGCAAGATGTGTGTAAGGAGGAGGAGGTTGTCGCTGAGCAGCAGCTCTGTATTGAGGAGAGGAGCTCCAGTGTGGACCAAGAGGAGCCAGAGCCTCCACAGATTAAAGAGGAAGAGGAGGAAGTGTGCAGCAGTCAGGAGGGAGAGCAGCTTGAAGTGAAGCAGGAGACTGAGACCTTTCTATTGACTCCTACTGATGAGGAAAGTGAGCAGCAGCTCCTCTGTCACAGCTCTCATGGAGCTGAGAGTGAAGATGAGGAAGGAGACGAGCAAGGAGACTCAACATCAACTGGAGAAGCAGAGACAGAAGAACAGAATAGACGTAACAAGCGCAGAAGTCACACTAAGCGTGTAGACAACCCCAACTTATCAGAGATTGATCATAATACTCACACAGGTAAAACACCTTTTAAATGTGACACTTGTGGGAAAAGTTTCAAGTTTAAGTGTCATTTTAATCCACACCTGAGAATCCACACAGGAGAGAAGCCGTTTAAATGTGAGATATGTGGAAAAGGATTCACTCGGACAAATGATTTGAAAGCTCATGCAAGAATCCACACAGGTGAGAGACCATATTCTTGCAAGACCTGTGGAAAAGATTTTCGACGGAATAATGCCTTGTTAGTCCACATGAAAATCCACACAGGTGAGAAGCCGTATTCTTGCAAGACATGTGGAAAGGATTTCAGATGCAGTTATCAATTGTTACTCCACATGAGAATTCACACAGGTGAGAAGCCGTATTCTTGCAAGACATGTGGAAAGGATTTCAGACGCAGTTGTAATTTGTTGGCCCACACAAGAAGAGCCCACACCGGTGAGAAGCCGTACCTTTGCAAGATCTGCGGGAAAAGATACTTTGATGAGTCTCATTTGATAAACCACATGAAATCACATACAGGCAAGTAGCCTTGTATTTCAAAAATCATATTGGAGATGATTCAGTTCTGGTGGCTCATGGTTAAAACACACAAGAAGTCAAAGAAGTGAGGAGCCACAGAATTACAGCATATTGAAAAACATACTTGAAAAACCTCTTGACACCTCATGTCAACTGGAGACCTGTCTTTTTTTGTCTGCTACATTTAATTTGATATTTTTTGGTATTTTGTGAATGCATCAACGCCACAGCTGACTACAAACTAAACTGTAGATGATGTACTACATGGTGCTGTCAACAGATCAGCTTATAAAGTAGTAATGAAAAGTGAATGAATATTAATGATCTGTGCCCAAAGACATGTGTTCTCTTTTTTTAACTCATCTAGGTATCCAAACACTAAAGCTTTGTGTTGTGATGATTTAACAATAATAAACCCTCTAGAGGTGTTGGATCACTTACGTTTTCATCCTGCCTACCAGTTCTTTTTTTGTCTGCAGCATTTCTCTGAGCTGTGTATTGTCATGTATTAATTTGCGAATGGTTGTCAAAAACTGCTCAAAATTAAGACACTCCATAACAAGTGTTTCACACATTTTCATGAGCACAGTACTGGAGTTAAATAAAATTTCCACCTTTGAGGTTTTGATGAGGACCTTAAATTCAGTCAGGGGGGTAAATGACAACCCAACACAACAGCTCCTATGCTTAGTTTAACTACAGCAGGAAGCCTCTGCTCTGTTACTGTTACCTATCTTATCATATCTTAGCTTAGCTCAGCTCAGTCTCTCTCTTGTCCAATCTTATGTTTATTAACTTAGTTTAGATAGTCTCTGGGGCGTCTGTGGCTTTGTGGTTAGAGCAGGCGCCCCATGTACAAGGCTGTTGCCGCAGCGGACCGGGTTCGAGTCCAGCCTGTGGCCCTTTGCTGCATGTCACCCCCTCTCTCTCTCCTCCTTTCACACTTAACTGTCCTGTCCATTAAAGGCAAAAAATATCTTTAAAAAAAAAAAAAAAGCTTAGATTGTCTCTCATCTTATCTTATCCGATCTTATACTAGTTATAAGATCCAGTCCTATCTCCATTCATTCATCTTCTAACTGCTTCATCCTCTTGGGGGTCGCAGGGGGCTGGAGCCTATCCCAGCTGACATCGGGCGAGAGGCAGGGTACACCCTGGACAGGTCGCCAGACTATCACAGGGCTGACACATAGAGACAAACAACCATTCATGCTCACATTCACACCGACGGACAATTTAGAGTTAGCAATTAACCTCGTCCCCAATCTGCATGTCTTTGGACTGTGGGAGGAAGCCGGAGTGCCCGGAGAGAACCCACGCTGACACGGGCAGAACATGCAGGCTCCGCACAGAAGGGCTCCCACGCCCGGGATCGAGCCGGCAACCCTCTTGCTGTGAGGCGACAGTGCTAACCACCACACCACCGTGCCGCCCCCAGTCCTATCTTATCTTATCCAATCTTAGCTTAGCTAAACCTAGCTTAACTTATCTCTTATCTTAACCAGTCTTAGCTTAACTTTGCTTAGCCCATCAAATCCTATTTTAGTTTAACTTTGCTTATCTTATTTCTTATCCAATCTAATCTTATCTTACCTTACCTTAGCTTACCCAATGTTTTCTTATCTTCGTTTCACTTAGCTTAGCTTGGCTTATCTCTTATCTTAACCAATCTTAGCTTCGCTTATATCTTGTCTTGTCTTGTTTAAACAAACTGTCACCCAGCTATGCTGCTGGAAGGAATGTGGAGAAATCATGGTTGACCATGTCCATATTTTCTGTTCTTGTCCTTCTGTTCAGACTCTCTGAAAGGAATTAGCAACAATAATATCAAAAACTTTGTTTTAAGGTAAGAGACGAGATAAAATTGGATAAGACATCTGTTTGGGCGTGATGAAAAAGTGAATCGGGTTTTTCCAGCACAGTGTCTCCAGGTCTGAGAGTTAGAAAAGCTTTGTATGTTGATGATTTCAATTAACAAACCCTCTAGTGTTGGATCAATAATGTTTTCATCTTACAGCGAGTCCTTTTCCCTCCTTTTTAAAATGGTATTTATTTATTAATTTATGTTTGCAGCAGCGGCATTCCTCCTAATTGTATATTGTATTGGCTGGTCATGTTGATGAGTTTATTGTCATGAAACTTGTATGTAAATGTCATGATTTGCGAGTGGGTGTCACAAAGTACTCACAGTTGAGACACCTTGACTACTTTGTGTAGTTTACACATTTTCCACTTTGATGCTCCATCAAACAGTTCCTGTGCTGAGTTCACATGAATGATATTGAGACAACGCGTCTCTGCAAAAAATCATGTTCTGTAAAAAGGCCGACAATTGGAGGCGGAACAGAAGAAAAGACAATAGACGCTCTGCTGTCGGAACTTAATGGTGTAACACCAGCGGAAGTAAATTACAGTAAGCGTTTCTCAATACTCAAGGGCCCAATTCCAATCCAATCCCTTACAGACTGACTGACATGAGGCGCGTTCATGTCATCAATGTGTCTCTTAGACCCCATCCCAACTAGGCTACTTAAGGAGGTCTTTCCTTTAGTTAACACTCATATATTAGATATGATCAATATATCCTTATTAACAGGCTATGTACCGCAGTCTTTTAAGGTAGCTGTAATTAAACCTCTACTAAAAAAGCCCACCCTGGATCCAGAGGTGTTAGCCAACTATAGACCAATATCTAATCTTCCCTTTATGTCAAAAATCCTTGAGAAAGTAGTCGCAGACCAGCTGTGTGATTTTCTCCATGATAATAATTTATTTGAGGAATTTCAGTCAGGATTTAGAGTGCATCATAGCACTGAGACAGCACTAGTTAAAATTACAAATGACCTTCTGATTGCTTCAGACAAAGGACTTGTCTCTGTACTTGTTTTATTAGATCTTAGTGC